CAAACACCATATGAGTGTTGTTTGATAAAAGAATCACCCTGTATACCTTTCAAATTAAAAGCGCTCTAAGTAAAAATACTTTTCAGACGAAATATGTTTCAAAATAAATACTWTTYGGAAAATATATATTTTCTTAAGTTTAACGTTCCAATAATTATTTAACGAAAATAGCCTTCCCAAAAAATGTCCTAGTGCTGGCGAGAAGATAAAATTTTGCAAAAATAATAGTTGCGTTTCTTATATAGATATGAACAGGCCCCTTATAATACATTGAAATATATATTCTGTAATCTATAAAGTCTCAAAAAAATTTAAAACAACTTTGGACAACTATAATWGTTAAAACCATAAAAGCTAACCTAATTTTGAATGTTATATTAAAAAATATCATTGTATAGGTATTATTTGTATGCAATTCAATAAATCATATCATCCGACATTCTGATATGTGGCTCGTTACGGTCGAGGCGCACATGTTCTATGACAGCGACAATTGTGGTGTGATTATCATTTCATCTTTGTAGGTAAACAATTTCTCAAGCAATAAGTCTAAATTCTGAATAACATAATATTAAACTGTCTTACGACACTTGAATATTATTTTATTGTCGATCATATCTCCACAAATCAAGCTACCCCTAAAACCGTGATAGTTTTGTACTARATAGATTGTACTCATAAGCTTCAAAGGGGGTATTAGTTTCGATAGTTTTAATAGTCACATATACCTACCACCTAAAATCCAAAATGTATGCAAAGTTATTTACAAACTTAGAGTACTTAGACTATAGTTATTCTATAGACTAACGATTGTAATGTCAAATAAATTTACTGTACCTTCACATATTGTTTTCAATTTTTTATGTACCTACCATGTGGTGATCATTRCTCGGCTCAAGTCACCCATCAACAGCATAATAATATATGTTACCTACTGGCTACCAGCGGCGTATTTACGTGGGGGAATTTGGGGGGTTGATCCCCCCTTGGTCTTTTTTTCTATTTTTAAAGAATTTACCTATATATATATAACTAGACACTAAATCGTGTTTAATAYTTTTATATGTCACTTTTATGTGTGATATTCAATGGGTCATCTCCTCCCTATAACAATTCTTAAATACGCCGCTGCTGGCCACTAAGCACTAACTACTGTGGCGTGGTTACCATGTTTTTGGTAGTGACTGACTGTTTTTTTTAACAAATAAATAGATGGTCCTCATTATGTGAAGATATAATAATATAATATTATATCATTAAATGTGTGAATAGTTTTATTATTAGTGTTCAAGTAGTTATTATCATAATTACTAAAATTTTATATAATTAAACAAGGACAAAATATTAAATGGAGTGAAAAATAATATAAATTCAACACATATGTAGATAAATAATTTATACAAAGTTGGAATCCACTTATCTACCTATAATATGTTTTGATTTGTTAATCAGACGATCTAATGTATGTGTAACCGAGGATATCTTCATCACTTTTAAGTTTTAAGTAGTGGCTGCTAATTATTGTTTAAAAATCTCACGGGTCACAGTTTTAATGAAAAAAAATATATTAAATCATTAAAATTGTAATAAAAATTACATGATATGCTTATAATGTATTCGTCGGACTTGAATTAAGGCATTTTGGACCTAGGTTAAAGACCCATAATAAAACTATATTGATGGATGGATATTCCTAGAAATCTTTTGCCCTAAGTATTTAAACATTTAACCACACGACAGTATAATATATAACTACCTCTTTGGTGACAACTGGCAGAGGTAGGTATACCAAGTGCACATATTGGTAACTTATTACTTTAAGTTAACAATGTCGTAGTGGTGGAGAAAGGGAGTRGTAAAAAGACGAAGAAGACAGCGACGTGGTACACTGAGCAAGTGTGTGTGCAGGTGAGCTCTACAGTGCGGTGGGGAAAATTAACAGAGCGGCTAGCGAATGAGCGTGTTAGTCAGTGAATTTCGCCGGATAAGACACAGTTTTCCAGTCGCTGTCATCTGTCGGCGTGAGTTGTGCAGCGCGCTCATGTCATCGACAATCAAAAGCAACTTATAAAACACGTGCCCACCGATCGAATGGACGCGTTCAAGCTGGAGGCCAAATGGCCACCCGACAGGAAATCCACCATCGAAGCATCCGAGTTTGGTATCTACAAGGAGCCGTCTGACGGGAAACGTCTTCGCGGCACTGATAAGGCCACCGGATGTCTCCTGGTACTATCCCTGATCGCTGCTTCCGCGGTAGTGGTAAGCAATTCAACAATCCTACATATATATATAATCGACACTCATARTATAAGACGTAGGTAAGTATATAACGGGCATGCCATATCGATATGTATTTTAAATGATAATAATTCGAAGAATTATTCGAATATTTCATGCAATCACCCTTATCATTAATTAGACACTACATTATTCAAACAGATTTATGTAAAAAGTACATAAAATATTAGTAATTATTGAATTTTAGTTTTTAAGAATTTAATAATATCAGAACGTTAAAAATAATGAAAATGCCACTTAGTTATTGGGGTGGCGAAATTATAATTTTTCTTGTCATTTAA